TCTCTCTCTCTCTCTCTCTCTCTCTCTCTCTCTCTCTCTCTCTCTCTCTCTCTCTCTCTCTCTCTCTCCTCCTCCTCCTCCTCCTCCTCTCTCTCTCTCTCTCTCTCTCTCTCTCTCTCTCTCTCTCTCTCTCTCATTCTATAGATAATATAATATTTTATATATATATATATATATTATATACATACATATATCTCTGTTAGGTGAATAATTATGTTGGGCACGGCATGAATACAAACCTGATTACCTCATAATTTCAGGAGTGCTTCACCAAAGCAGGTCCAAGCCAAGCGAGGCATGAAGACAAAGCCAGTGCCTGCGACATGGCAGAAGGCGCAGTTACTTGCACAAGATGAAGGGACATTATCACCCAGTGACAGGTTAAAAAAAGTATTTTTGCTCCATTACTATCAGTGTAGTGTCAGTGATGAAGTAAAATCTCACTGCAGGAATCACTGTAATCTTATGGCATTGCTGGAGAATATGTCTCCTGTTGTGCCTGGAACTTTATTATGATTTCGTTACAATAACCTGACATTTTCGGTGTGCGCAGGCTGCAGAAGGCATCCGCCACATCACGTCGTTCCACTCATGGGAAGGCACCACCTTCTGAAGTGATGAGTGACAGCTCGAGTGAGAGTGAAGAGGAGGAAGGAACCCATGACCGGAGACAGGAGAGCTCAGACTTACCTAGCGAATACTGGCAGATACAGAAGCTTGTGAAATATCTGAAGGTGTGTTAATTTCAGGGAGTGAGTGTTGGAGTTAGTACAAGATGAAGAAAAGAAATTTCCAGACTAAAATGATAAGATGCAATAATCAAACTAAGGTGGATAAAAAAAAAATTGTGTATGAGATAAAAGTAGATGCTGTGAAGTAGATGGAAAACGCACTATTGACACTTCTGTGTTATATTTCTTAGTAGTCAAATGAGGGCCTTGCCTCAAAATTTGTACAAGCAAAATTACATAATCTCTTGCACAAATAGGTAGTTCAGTTAATTAATATTATTTTCAATTTCATATTATGATAGCAAAATGCATGTGATTATATGCATGAATATATGTATAGTTGAAATTCAAAAGTTGTTAGATATTAATAGTTTGGCCATTGAAAATTTAGTTTTCAACCAGTATACCAGAGTACTGCTACGTGTATTTGATTCGGACTTTGTTTTTGCTAGGGTGGCAACCAGACAGCGACAGTGATTGCCTTGTGCTCTATGCGAGACTTTAACCTTGCACAGGAGACTTGCCAACTGGCAATCAGAGATGTTGGTGGACTGGAGGTGCTTATCAATCTACTTGAGACAGATGAACTGAGATGCAAGGTAGTTACATGCAATAACTTCGTTTGTGTGTTGTTGAGGTTGTGTGGAGGGAGTGAGTGCATGCATGCAGCGTGTGTGTGTGCGCATCTGTGCATGAGTGTCTGCGTGCGCATGTGTGTGAAAGAGAGAGGATGGTGTCAGGATGCTGAGATTTACTGAGATTATTAAAGGAAATAATTGATTTCCCAGATTGGCTCGCTCAAGATCCTGAAAGAAATATCTGTAAACAATCAAATACGGCGAGCCATTGCTGATCTGGGAGGCCTGCAGACGATGGTCGGACTGCTACAGGATCCCAACAAGGACCTCAAGTGTCTTGCGGCTGAAACGATCGCAAACGTTGCTAAGTTCGGGAGAGCCCGTCGTACTGTGAGGCATCATGGAGGCATTACAAAGTTGGTAAGACATGTGTTCTGAAAGATTTAGCATTTTGGCTGATATCATCATCGCAATTGTTAAATTTATCCGGAAGAGGGCACGAGAGAGAGAGAGCGCGGGAAAAGCTTAGTTGATTCATTGGGATTTTCATTCATCTTTGTGTGTGTCAGCAAGCGTTGATCGAGTTTTAGAGTCGTGTATCAAAGTACAACTTTCGACAGAAGTTATCGAATAAATAGTTATACAGTCCTTTGTCGTACACACTATACAGGCTTCTTATCGTTTCGTTCTGTCATGCAATTCACTCAACCACATGCATGTGGCCAGTTATGCTTAAATAAGCCAAAGTCGCATATTGCTATATATCTCGAGCCCAGAATACATGTTTACAATGTACAGTTTGCAGTTTGCAGTTTGCAGTGCATTATGAAATTTCATTTTATTCGTTCCAAATATGCTTTTGTGATAGCATTGAAATTCTTAAGGTGAAAACATTACTGCTTAGGAATGAGTTATAGGTATGATGCTGATTCATTGACGTACAGCTAGCTGGAGGTAGTTGGGAAATAAATGAACAAACTACTTTAGCAGCACATTATGCAGAGATAATCAAGTGAATAGAGATCAGGATGAGTGGGTATCATTTCAAACAGGTGACGTTGATGGACTGTGTACCACTGACCTCTGCTATGACACCTGAGATTGAGAAGGAGGTGAAGGTCGCGCGTTGTGGGGCGCTGGCCTTGTGGAGCTGTAGCAAGAGCAGGAAGAACAAGCATGCGATCAGGCGAGCAGGAGGAGTCCCACTGCTCGCACGTCTGCTCAAGTCTGCTCATGAGAACATGCTGATACCAGTTGTGGGCACATTACAGGAGTGTGCCTCTGAGGTGGGACGGCAGCACGTGCCTAACAATATTTGCTTGTAGTTATTAATTGAGTATGCTCATTTATAACAGTAATAAACTCAATGTATAATATGGAATTTATTTTGATTAATTTGAATTGCTTTATATATTATAATATAATGAATTTGAATTTCTTTAAGTTTGAATTTCTTTTAGTTTGTTTATATTGACAGTACCCTGATAATTTTATTAGCACAATATAGCATGTAAAGGTAATGCTGTGAGCACTGTCTTCACCTTTGCACTTAAATTATTGCAGCCCTTCTTCAGACTGGCCATCCGTACCGAGTGCATGATTGAGGATCTCGTGAAAAACCTCAGCGTTAAAAACCAGGAATTACAAATGCACTGCTCATTAGCAATATTTAAGGTTGGCAATAGTAATTAACATCAGTTTTCTGACTTGTCGTTGCAGAGTTAATTTATGTGTGTAAGGTTAAATATGCATCATGAATGTATAGGAAGTATGGTATAGTATAAGTGTTGTATGTATAAGGTTTTTTGTGAAGTTAATAGGTAGTTAAATAAGTTGTAAGATAATACGAGTGCGGCTGATCTATTCTCAATCAAACGTTAAAACATAAACAAGAAGATATGGCCAAGAACTGAAACAGTGGCTGGGCTTGGCACTGGGAAACACATTATCTTAACCACTGTTGCCTACAGATATGAAGCTTGAGAATTCAAAAATTTTAGGGTAGCACATAAAAGTGTTTTAGCAACTTAACAACAAACTGACATACTTATTAACAAATTTTCTGAGTTCTGAAAATGTAATTATTTTTTGCTGATTTAATAGGCGGCAGAAGATGCTGAGACGAGAGACCTGGTGCGGAAATATGGAGGTCTGGATCCTCTTGTGTCCCTGCTCGCTAATAATGAAAATAAAGATCTCCTCGCAGCTGTCACTGGTGCCATTTGGAAGTGTGCAATCAGCAGAGATAATATTAAAAAGTTTCAAGAGTTGAAAGCAATAGAACTGTTGGTGGGACTGCTGCATGAGCAGCCAGAAGAGGTGAAGTATGATTATAAGTCACAAACTACCTGTCAGAAATAACAATTGCGTTGAGAATCTAACATAGAACATAATAGCAAAAATTTGTTTTAACTTAGCAAAGGCAATGACGTGGAATCCAGGCTTTGTCCTCCAGTATCCCTGCAACGTTCACTACCCAGTAATTTATTCAGCATACGAGCTGTAATAATAGAATTTAGTATTTGGCACAGGGAAATCACATTTTCCTCTGGTAAGCTAAACAAAACTTGACCAAATATATTTATGAAACCGTTTTCGATTGTGTCCTTAGGTGCTCGTAAATGTAGTCGGAGCCCTGGGTGAGTGTGCACAAGTTCCAGGCAACCGCGCTGCAATCCGCAAGGCAGGAGGCATTCCTCCTCTTGTCAACCTGCTCACAGGAACTAATCAAGCACTTCTAGGAAATGTGACACGTGCCGTGGGTGCTTGTGCTCTCGACCCTGAAAACATGGTGTGAGTTCTGATGGCCAGTATTGATTTACTTACTTTACTATACTTACTCCTACCTTTACTGATTTAATTACTTGCGTTGGCAAGGATATGGCAACACAATAACTGAATTGCGTACATCACAATATATACAAGAATGCACATTCCTGAATATACATTTCAGTTGGTATTGTAGATTTTATCATAGGCAGTCTAACATAATATGAATTTACAAGGTCTAATATTTATTTGTTGCAGCATCATAGATCGTCTGGATGGTGTAAGGCTGCTGTGGTCTCTACTAAAAAACCACAATCCAGAGGTGCAGGCTTGCTCTGCATGGGCTATCTGCCCGTGTATTGAAAATGCCAAGGTAAATAAATACTAATCCGACTTTAGAGTAAAGGTTTTTCAAAAATGAATGAAAAAATAATCGAGTTATTACTTTCAGACTTAAAAGTAAATAATTAGCTGTGATGGTGTAACCGGATAATGCATTTAATTTAATTTCGAGGATATTCAATTTCGTTTTTGTTTTTGCTTTGTGCTTTGTGCTCATTGATATTGCTTTCATAAACTATATATCCACACTAACTTGTATTTTTCCAGGATGCGGGGGAAATGGTCCGCTCATTTGTGGGTGGGCTGGAGCTCATTGTTAGCTTGCTGAAGTCTGAGCATCACGAGGTTCTGGCAAGTATCTGTGCTGCCATTGCTAACATTGCCAAGGATGAGGAGAATCTAGCTGTCATTACTGATCATGGAGTAGTACCAATGCTGGCAAAGCTAGCCCAGACTGTATGTGCTATTTTAAGTAATTAACAATAAACAATATAAATAGAATCATAGTAACTGGATCTAGATAGTGGAAGATGGACTGTGCGTGGAAAATGGATTGGGTAAGTAAGTCATATAGTGGCATACAGAGTCTATCCACTTCCCACGGGCATCCTGGCAATCCTCGCCTAGTAATACAGTTATTATGTTTATTATTATTAAGATATAAATACTGAAAGATTATAGTAGATTTGTAGTTTATTTCCTCTAGCTATCTGTTTTACTTAATTAAATATGATTATTAGATCACAGTATTTGCGCTTAGTTACATATTGTGGAGACCCTTGTGCTAGGTTTGCATTACTGATTGAACGTAAAATATACGTCTACGCATCTGATTTGTTGCCAGAATGACGACAAGCTAAGGCGCCACCTAGCAGAAGCTATCGCTCGATGCTGCATGTGGGGAAATAACCGCGAGGCATTTGGTGAAGCCGGAGCAGTGGCCCCACTAGTCAAGTACCTAAAGTCACCAGATGAGAAAGTTCACTGTGCGACTGCTAAGGCGCTGTATCAACTATCAAAGCAGCCAAACAACTGCATTACTATGCATGAGAGTGGAGTTGTGAAGGTATGAGTACCCTGCATATACGTCCCAACTTCCAAGTAACGTACATTTTAAGCGCACCTGACATAGTTGGGTGGAACCTACAGTGGCAGAAGCACCTGTGTGTTTGTGCATCCATCAATAACAGTGTCTAAATGGTTTCACCCCTACTCCTCATTTTCTGGACATAGTGTTGCAATCAGAATAGTTGCTATCAAGCAGGGGATCAAAAGACAGATATAGTTCCATATATTTTCTAGGACATGATCTGATTGACTCAGTCAGGCCTTTTCATTAAACCTGCTGACCTCCTATTTTTATTGCACAATTAAAAAGATCCTTGTTCATTCGTTGTTATCTGGCTATATGCATAAAATTACTTTTCTAATGAATGTAAAGAGTAGCTTTCCAGTGATGCTTTGACCCTCAAGAGACTATCAATTAATAACAAAACGAAATTATCTATGGTGTTCGCAGTGAAATGTTTTGTAATACTGAAAATGCTTAGTTCGTAGATGAGCTGGAAGATCAAAGGGTCTTTGGGGCAAATGCCTCATGTATTTTCGATTTTTATAATGTGGATTAACTGAGCAAATGAGTGAATTTGTGTATTATTTTCATACTTTTCTTTGGAGAAAGTTCAGGCCATATTATAAGCCTCTGTCCGTCATATTTTTGACTAATATAGTTATGGTATAGAAGAAATATTTCATACCTGATGCATAACTGGATGTTTTGTTTCGTCTCTTAGCTTCTGCTCAACATGGTTGGCTCTAGTGATGATGTGCTACAGGAGGCCGCTGCTGGTTGCATCAGTAATATCAGGAAACTGGCCCTGGCTAACGAGAAGGCAAAGTACAGCTCGTAAATGCGTAGAGATGCCAAGACAATCCATCCTAGTTCGGACACGTTACAGACACTTCACACTGTTTGATCACTTCACATGCTATTGTAAACAGAAATGCATATTATACTGCCTTTAAAATTGCCAACACCTGAGACATTGTCACTTTATGTTCAAAAATGAGTAAATGGTACTTGACGTGGTGAAAATTGAAAAATAATCTTTTCTTATAAATAAGCTGTATCAACATTTATGTATGCATGTAAGTCCTGGGCGTGCGTGTGCATGCGTGGGTGCGATCGTGCGCCCACGTGCACAGGGCAAGGCAATAGGGTTGATAAAAGTGTCGTGTGTAGCAGTATGTAAGTAACATTTTATATAATCTGTTTATATTTAGCAGGATTTTACATGCAGTATTATATGTTTTATCCAAACAAGATAGCGTGGTGATAATAAAGTTGGCCATCATATCAATTTCTTTGTACGCAGTTGGTTTGATCGTGTACCCAAACCATGATGTTACATTATATATGGCTCGTATCAGGCCCCATCCCACCAACTGAATCTTGTATATAGTACCTTTACTATATATGTTACTACAGTATTACAGTATTACAGTATTACGTGTTCTATTCGGGAATGGTTGGTTCGTCGTGGGCCCTTCTACCGTTCCCACAGTTTTCTACCAATCGTCTTAAGTCCTACGCATATCATTGATATGTCACAGGAGTTGCATGATACGTAGTTAGAACTTTATACAGTGAGCTAGCACCTGTTGATGGTATATGATTTACAATGTATATTGGCAGGCTGTGTGAAATAATTATGCAGGTCATCTAAAATTCCGTTGGGTGGAGGAGAATGTTACCGACTTAGATTATGCGTGAGTCATCACACGAATATCCATAATAGAGTCAGTGAGTCACACGAGGCAACATGTGTCTATGCAGCAGCCGTGAACAACATGCACGTGCCTCGTTGTGATACTTGGATTCCGCAACTAGTATAAAAGGCTAGGCTAGAAACGAGCGACGATGTTGAAGCAGTTTCATGCTATTGTTTTTAGTTGAGCACCGTTGCATACGCCGCGTGGAAGTTATTAACTATTACACTAAATTAAAACTAAAAACTAACATTCAAACGTGTCGTTATTTGTGTGGAAGCATTTTATACTGAACAAACAGCACAGTGTACAAACCGTAACAGCGCTACTGAGCCGAGCGGAACGTAAAACATTTGTTGTGCAATATTAAAACCAAGCCACGGATGTAAATATCTGCATGGTGAGCATGGATGTCGATGCATGCTCGGCTCACAACGACGTAATCGAGGATGAGAGTAGCGATGCGGTGGAGAGCGTGCATCAGTCGATACGCGGCGCGAATACCGTTTGCTCAGCACTAGCTCACGTCGAGCGTGAAATCACACCTGACCGACCATGCCAGCTAGACGTCGGTTTGTCCGATGCTCTTCACACTGGAAATGGCGACGGGCAGGCTGCGAATAGTGGCTTATCGATGATAGACGCAGAATCGAACGTGGCGCGCGAGGGGGCGTTGTGTGCCGACGATCAAGACCAGATGGATCTAGCCGAAGACAACCGCATGACAAATCTAGCGTCGTATCGTGCTATTTCAAAGAAAGCAGAAACTGATGATGGGACTGCTGCAAGCCAGAATGTGTCAGCCCTCGAGGCAACAACAAGCAACACGACGACATGTGACTTCGTTACTATCCCACGTGGGGATGACATCAAATGCAGCAGCAGCAAAACGCGCGATGACAATGTTGGTATGAAAAGACTACCCGCCATCTCTTCCGAAGGTAACAAAGACGCAGGGATGAATAAAACCTCTAGTAATTCTAAGGAAAGTGGAGATGATTATGACCGAGAAAAGCTTAATAGTGATGATTTGTCGATGTCCGACGAAATGAGTTTTTTACGCAACCTCGAAGACGACACCGATTTGCTTGCCACCTTCAGGAACTCGGACATGCAACGGGAGAAATATCGCCTGTACCTGACAACGTGTGTAATGAGTCCCATCGGTGACGATGAGTACGACGGTGACACAATTACTGATGTCGGTGATCTTCACACCATGTCTAGCACGCAACGGATACCACGTGCTAGTGTTACAGGCCACACAGAATATGGGGATCTGGAAATAGAAACGAATCAAGGAGACCACACAGAGAAGAAACCGAATGATGTCAGCACAGAGCAACAATATGGTGAGGTGACATTAGAGAAGGAATACGTCGATGTGGTAGACGACAGTACACAAATAAAGCAGTCAGAAATAAACGTGGTGGAAGGATGCAACAGGGAAAAGAATCAGGAGGGAATCACCAAGTGGGAAGATGAGATCACAGACACAAACCAGGAGGAAAGCAACGCTACGGAAGATAGCGCCACAGACACTAACAAAGTGGAAATCAATGGGTTGGAAGATGAGACCAAATTCACGAATCAATTCAATGTGATGGAAGATAGCGCCGCAGACACGGACCAGGAGGAAATCAATGTGTTGGAAGATGAGGCTACAGACATGAACCAAGGGGAAATCAACCTGATAGAAGCACAACAGACGCACGCGACGACCAGACACGAACCATGAGGAAATCACGTGTTGGAAGTTACGTCCTACAGACACGAGCCGGGAGGAATCAACGCTAACGGAAGATAAGTCCGCAGACACGGACCAGGAGGAAATCAATGTGTTGGAAGATGAGGCTACAGACACGAACCAGGAGGAAATCAATGTGTTGGAAGATGAGGCTACAGACATGAACCAAGGGGAAATCAACCTGATAGAAGCACAACAGACCACGACACAGACAGGACCGACCAAGACACGAACCATGAGGAAATCACGAGTTGGAAGATAAGACTACAGACACGAGCCAGGAGGAAATCAACGCTACGGAAGATAAGTCCACAGAGCGACGGACCAGGAGGAAATCAACGCAATGCAAGATAAGTCCACAGACACGAACCATGAGGAAATCTACGCTACGGAAGATATGTCCACAGACACGGACCAGGAGGAAATCAATGTGTTGGAAGATGAGGCTACAACGCAAACCAAGCGGATATCAACCTAATAGAAAATGAGATCAAATTCACAAATCAATTCAATGTGATGGAAGATGGCCCGCAGACACGGACCAGCGAGGAAATCATGTGTTGGAAGATGAGGCGTACAGACACGGACCAGAAGAAAATTAACGTGTTGGAACCATGAGGCTACAGACGCAAACCAAGCAGATATCAACCTAATAGAAGATGAGATCAATTCACAAATCAATTCAATGTGATGGAAGATGCGCTACAGACACGGACCAGAAAGAAAATCAATGTGGTGGGAAGATGAGGGCTACAGACATGAACCAAGGAAATCAACCGCTGATAGAACACAACAGATCACGACCACAGACACGGACCAGGAGGAAATCAACAGCGTTTGGAAGATAAGTCCACAGCACAACGAGCCGGGAGGAAATCAACGCTACGCGAAGATATGTCACAGACAGACACGGACCAGGAGGAAATCAATGTGTTGGAAGATGAGGCTACAGACATGAACCAAGCAGATATCAACCTAATAGAAGATGAGACGAAATTCACGAATCAATTCAATGTGATGGAAGATGGCGCCGCAGACACGGACCAGGAGGAAATTCAATGTGTTGGAAGATGGCACCACAGACACGGACCCAGGAGGAAATCCAATGTGTTGGAAGATGAGGCTACAGACATGACGCAAGGGAATCAACCTGATAGAAACACAACAGACCACGACTACAGACACGACTACAGACAGCGAACCATGAGGAAATCACAATGTGTTGGAAGATGAGGCCACAGACATGAACCAGGAGGAATCAATGTGTTGGAAGATGAGGCTACAGACATGAATCAGGAGGAAATAAATGCGTTGGAAGATACGTCCACAGACACGAGCCAGGAGGAAATCCAATGCTACGGAAGATGGCGCAAGCAGACACGAACCATGGAGGAAATCAATGTGTTGGAAAGATGAGGCTACAGACATGAACCAGGAGGAATCAACGCTACGGAAGATATGTCCAGCAGACAC